GTGAAGACCCAGTGATTACGGGTGGATTTTACGCGGTGCTGGAGGTGAATTACGGGCGCATGTAACCAATTACACGCAAAATTACGGGTGAAGACCCAGTGATTACGGGTGGATTTTACGCGGTGCTGGAGGTGAATTATGGGCACATGTAACCAATTACACGCGAAATTACGGGTGAAGACCCAGTGATTACGGCTGAATATTACGCGGTGCTGGAGGTGAATTACGGGCACATGTAACCAATTACACGCGAAATTACGGGTGAAGACCCAGTGATTACGGCTGAATATTACGCGGTGCTGGAGGTGAATTACGGGCACATGTAACCAATTACACGCAAAATTACGGGTGAAGACCCAGTGATTACGGGTGAATATTACGCGGTGCTGCAGGTAAATTACGGGGCATGTAACCAATTACACGTACAATTACGGGTGAAGACCCTGTTATCACGGGTTACACAGGCAGATATTACTCTGCGATGTGACACTTACTGCATGTTAAATTAACGATTGGTGAATACTTGCGGCAAGCCTCAAAATGGACGCACACCCCTTGTCAAAGTAGCCTAAGTCTCAGTGTGCTTGTGGACCAAGGCGCTTTGGACTCACAACGCCAACCAGCCAGCCTGACAGCCTGATGCATTCATCTCAACCATCGTCCTTGAAAACAGCGTTCATGTCACCCCCCATACAGCAAGTGCTCGCCAAGGAGTCTCACCACCACTTGCAGAGTTCGTGCCTACTCCTACGGATGAAACCCCCGATGCATGACATGTACCGGCACCTATTGGGATTGGTCTGTCCCATCCTGCCTGGGGCCGACCTGGTGTGTGCACCCCCAAGTGCTCATCACTGCTGCCATGTTACTGCTCACTTCCACCACTGTCGCTGCTGCCACTGCCACTGCTGCTGCTGCTAGCTTCGCTATATTTGCCCGGGTCCTCTGAGCTGGACTCCTCCCCAGCGCCAGCGGCTAGGACCTCTTCCTCACCAGCATCCGACCCACCCTCCGAGCTACCCTCCTCTGTCCGCCCCCTCCGCCCTCCATTGCCTGGGCCGCCCTTCCCTGCACCTCTGGTGGTCCCCTTGCTTGCACCCCTGCCCCAGCCTGCGCCCTTGTTCCCCTTCTGCCGTTTATTTCCAACCTTGCGCCCCGACCTCGCACCCAGGTCGTCATCATCACCGCCACCCCGCCTGCGCTTGCCAGCTGCGCCCTTAGCTGTTCTTGGCACCTCGCTGACCCACTCCTTGAACGCATCGTAGTTGGTGGTATCCTCGTCCTGTGGTGGGGGGGGCAGCAACACCCAGTGCTTACGTTCAAGGTAAAATATCAGGGTAAGACCCAACAAGCTGCCCTGACATTGAAAGTTGACATAACCCATCAGCACCCCTCGACCTTGTTAAACATGCTCCCCAGGTTCCAAAAGGGTTACAAGGCAGCCCTGGTTGCAAGCAGTCTGCAAACGAACAAACACTCCTCACCTGAATTGCATCGTTCTCTCCAGACACCAATGCCTCCTCGGCTCCACCGCCTGTGTTGCTGTCCACGCACCCTGTCCCGCGCCCAGTTCTCCCGCCGCTGCTGCGTCCACGCCCTCGACCACCACGCGTGCCAGCGGCGGTTCCGGATCGCCAAGGAGTCTCACCACCAGCAAGTGCTCGCCAAGGAGTCTCACCACCACTTGCAGAGTTCGTGCCTACTCCTACGGATGAAACCCCCGATGCATGACATGTACCGGCACCTATTGGGATTGGTCTGTCCCATCCTGCCTGGGGCCGGCCTGGTGTGTGCACCCCCAAGCGCTCATCACTGCTGCCATGTTACTGCTCACTTCCACCACTGTCGCTGCTGCCACTGCCACTGCTGCTGCTGCTAGCTTCGCTATATTTGCCCGGGTCCTCCGAGCTGGACTCCTCCAGCGCCAGCGGCTAGGACCTCTTCCTCACCAGCATCCGACCCACCCTCCGAGCTACCACCCTCTGTCCGCCCCCTCCGCCCTCCCTTGCCTGCGCCGCCCTTCCCCGCACCTCTGGTGGTCCCCTTGCTTGCACCCCTGCCCCGGCCTGCGCCCTTGTTTCCCTTCTGCCGTTTATTTCCAACCTTGCGCCCCGACCTCGCACCCAGGTCGTCGTCATCACCGCCACCCCGCCTGCGCTTGCCAGCTGCGCCCTTAGCCGCTCTTGGCACCTCGCCGACCCACTCCTTGAACGCATCGTAGTTGGTGGTATCCTCGTCCTGTGGTGGGGGGGGCAGCAACACCCAGTGCTTACGTTCAAGGTAAAATATCAGGGTAAGACCCAACAAGCTGCCCTGACATTGAAAGTTGACATAACCCATCAGCACCCCTCGACCTTGTTAAACATGCTCCCCAGGTTCCAAACTGCTAGGTTTTCTACCTGGGCAACGCCCGCCTCGCCCTGCCTGGGACCCGTGCCGGTGTCCCCCCCTGCGGTTGCTGCTGCTGCGACGCCTGCTGTGCGGCCGCCACCCGTGCCACCATCCACGGCATGCGTGCCCATGGCAGCAGCCTCTCCGCCACCCACCGCCTCTTCGTGGTCCCCAGCGGCTGCTCTCGCTGCTGCACCATCACCGTCGTTAGCCGCAGTATCCACTGCCTCAGCTCCCACTGCGGCTGCCACAGCACCGTGGTCTGCAGTGATAGTCGACGGTCGCAGGATCTTGTCCAAGACCTTCTTCTGAAACTGCGTCATGAAGTTGCTGGTGGCGGTCGCCTTGCCAGGCGCGGGCCCGCCGATGGCCAGGCCCTCCTGGCTGATCCCGAACAGCCTTTAAAGTAATACATTGCATTCTGCTCCTTGAACATGCTAGCTGATATCATGTTACCTCCCAGCTCAAAACTAAGCGGTATCACGTTTAGGCTCTGATGTTCATAGGAATCCCCTAAAGCACACCGGAGTTCAATACTTCCGGGAAAGTCTTGTTCCATTTTCCAGCTTATGGAACTATAGAGTTGCACTTGTTCAGGTCAAGACGGCGCGGAAGCTATTGGTCCGTCCTGTATCCTAGAGTCGTGGCTAGTGTAAACTGTATCAGGTATAACAATGGAATACAAGAACATAGACAGCGAGGCAGGTCATGATAAGGCTTGGCTGATGACATGCAAGTATACAAGTACGGCGCCCATACTAGAATACGCGAGGTTCGCATGGACCTTCGTTTCTTTTCGCTGTTCAATCTGTTCTGTGTATCCCTGCGAGTGGCCCACCGGCACGCTCATTGAGGGGCTTCTGTGGGTAGAGGCTGCTTCGCTAACATTCGGCCCCGTCTACCCCAAGGTGTTTTCCCGCCCAAGTACGGCGCCCATACTAGAATACGCGAGGTTCGCGTGGACCTTCGTTTCTTTTCGCTGTTCAATCTGTTCTGTGTATCCCTGCGAGTGGCCCACCGGCACGCTCATTGAGGGGCTTCTGTGGGTAGAGGCTGCTTCGCTAACATTCGGCCCCGTCTACCCCAAGGTGTTTTCCCGCCCTGGGTACAAGGAGCTACTGGCGGCTGACCTCACCGGGCCCCCCGTCTTGTAGAGGGCCATACACAAGCTTGCCTTAAGGCGGCAAATCAGGTGGCCTTGTGATGATGGGGATTGACGATGGAGGGGGTGGGTTCACGTGTGTGTCGCATTAATTCAGAGTACCGGCTGCCAGGGCTGCTTAGGGTGAATACCCAATGGGAGGCTTATTGTCTTAAACCCTTTGTGTGGTCTGGGTGGTTCCAAAAGGGTTACAAGGCAGCCGGCTCATACCGGCACAAGTCTCAAGGATGGTTGCAGAAGGATACACTGTATCCGCTCGATGACTGCATGCTCGGAGGGGAATGTGCTGTCAGTAGAGAAGCTGGTGGCATGGGTGGAGAAGAAACACATGGAAGTGAAGGCATGGGCGACAATCATGGCTGACATGTGTGTTAATTCGGTCACAATTGTAACCCTTCTGGAACAACCGTGTTTGTTATAGGGGATGGCGCATCTGGGCCACTCCTTTGAAATGTGGGTGCCGTCCACTTTGTGACCAGCAAGCACACATCAAGTGAACTGGACAGTCAGCAACCAGTCGTACTAGTCCCGCCGATACTGCTGTGGCGGTGTCTGCCTCGCACTTTACACTGTCGGCACTCTTTCCAACAATGCAGAATGTGAAGCCATTTGAGTACTGAACCGAAACTCCATACGGGCATATGGACTGCCAGTGTGCCTTTACGCATATACGCCTGCATATGTATGTACATGCGTGCCATCTGTTGCACATGTGCATGGGATAACTTTCGTAGTCATTCGTTGTCAACCAGACAAGGGTGCATCCATCGGCCTCATTGCTGCAGTTGCTCAGCGGTTGGTGAAGTGTGTGTATGGCATGAAGTACATCAGCCCCTTTCGGTCCCCCTCCGGGGCGGCTGTGCAGAACTTGCCCTTCAGCTCACTTAGCGGCAGCCCTAGGTCCTGCCACATCTCCCACTGGCTGCCTGCCCTCACTGTCTGGGCGGCCGCCATGTTGACCACCACCAGCCCCCCGCTGAACACCTGTCCCGAGTACACATCTGCGACAGTGAAGCGGACATCCTGAGCGCCATCTTCTGCGGGCAGGTGGACGAAGTACTTGAGGTAGGCCGCATACGTCCGAGTCTCGTTGCCGACTTCTGCCTATTAGCATGCCCAGCAGGAGGTCCGCTGCTGCTGGCGCCCATACTCAGCCCTGAAGTACTGCTCCTCGTCGAGTGCCTCGGCACGCAAAAAGAAGCGGGCCTTGGGACAGTCGGGTGGTGTAGACATGAGAACCCTATCCAGGCGGTCCGTGTCCAGTTCGTAGCTCGCACTGGGACCCAATGTCCAGGAAGCCACATCCTCGAATGCCAGGGCATACCAGTGCACTAGGCTCGCCATGGCTGCCTGGACTTGTGCCACTCGTTCTGGACTTGGGTAGACCATGTGGCCTCGTCCAAGCAGGTAACCGTTGGCTCCTGGTTTATCAAACCAGGCAGCCTCGGTGTTCACTGTGCGCCGTGCCAACATCCTCTCAAGCTGCTGGTTGGTCGTGTGTTTGGCCCTGGTCGCGGGGTCTGCCTCGGTGAGCGACTCGGAGGCCTGCATCAGGCACAGCCACTGCGCGTAGTGCTTCTCGGGTGCCTGTGACACCATCCTTCCGCCTTGCGTCTTCATTTGCTGCATCATGCGTTCCACCGGCAGGTCGGAGAACCCTGCCGCGGACCCAAGCTGGCACTCCTGGTCGTACAGCCGGCATACGCAGATATGCAGGTTGACCGTGAACATGTAGCCCGGCACCTCCAACTCCTCCAGCCTGGTCGTGTAAGCTCTGAGCTTGCATGCAGCCGCCTTGGCTGCCACCAGGAACTGCTCACGGGTCTCGTCGGGGGGCCGCGGCCAGAAGTAGTGTGTGACCGTGCTGCACAGGCTCCAACACAGGGCCCGCAAGGCCTCGGGCAGCACGTCCCCCTTGAAGATGTAGCTGGAGAACGTCTCAACGAAGTGCAGCCAGTCCTCCATGCGGTAGCTCTTGCTGCATGGGTGGAGGGGGGCAGTGTGGCGAGCAACCGTGTAACTAGAAGAAGTACATTACATAGGTAGAGTAGCAAACTCTCTGACAGACGAAGGTGTTTTTTTCAGGCAAGCCCCTGGTCGTATTTGCTTTCTCGGCTATTAGCAACCCCCGTGTGTGGCCGGCTGCCCAGTGCTGGCCGTGCTCACCGGTACTGCATGATGCATTTGTACCGCCGCCCGAAGTCCGAAGTCACGACCAGGAACTGGCCGCGGGCCGCGACCCGCTGGCGTGCTTCACGAGACATGACCAGCTTGGCATCTGGGTCTGCTGGCTTGATGTCTTTGAGCAACCTCAGCGTCTAGTCCACAAAGTCGCTGACCACTCCGAACAGCAGGGCATGGCCGGTGGAGACGGTGAAGAGGCACGACAGGTCGACGTACGGCAGGGCCGCAAAGGCAGTCAGGCCCTTGCACCCAGTCTGGAGCGCCGCCTCATCGAACTGCTTCTGCGTGATCTTGTGTGGAGTCCCAAGGTGGAGCATCCTGTACATCGCCTGCATGACACTGCCCGCGCTGATGAAATGCCAATGGGTCTTCTTGAGAGCCCGGGCGCCGACCTTCAGGCTCTTGCCTGCATTCCGCTTTACGAAGTGCTGGCTGACTGCTTGGGTGTAGCCACGGAAGCGCACGGTGGCCCCGCGCCCGACATTGGCCTCCGTGTGTGCCTCGAATAGGCACCACATGCAGCTGCCGACACGACTGTTCTGGTCTCGTAGCTGCTGGTGGGCCGGTTCTGTCGGTGGGAATGGCTGGAATAAAAGCCTGCCGCGGTCCAGGTGTTGGACGGGCGGCTCATGACTGCCATTTCAGGGGCTGGGGACAGCAGGGTGCGGAGCTTGGTATGGAAGAGGACACCTAAGGT